GACGACTTCACGTCCCTCTCGCATCCCCACTTTCCTAATCATGGGGTGCGGGTGAAGAAGACCAGCTTCTGCGATCCCACAGTCAAGTGCGACTTCTACCTGTTGGCGAGCTAGTGATCTGGAACCAACATAATCGCAGCGCATATACGGGCTATCTCGACATTGACCAAGGCGCCAAACATCTCTTCTTCAGCTACTTTGAGTCGCGACGCGACCCCGATAACGGTGCGCAACCGTATTGAGGGGGTGGTACACTGCTGCAGCTTCACTTTGCAGACGATGTCATGATGTGGATCAACGGAGGTGCGTTGTTTGCGTGTAGCGTTTGTCGAATATTGATTATCTATAGGTCCCGGTGCATCCTCGATGCTCGGCATGCTCATGGAGCTTGGTAGGCATCGACTTAAGCAGGTATAGATGTGTCTCAAGCCATCGTCCAGGACCTTGCAGCATCGACATGAAGAATGAGTCCTCGAATGGCACCATCTGGAACCCATACTCCTGGAACAGCGAGGCCAACATATTCTTCCTCGACCAACGTAAGTCCACGATATTTGACCGCACATATGCGCCTCTCAAGCTGATCAACTTGCGCCAGCGTGAGTATAGCGATATTCTTTGCGCATATATGTACCCAAGTGACCACGTTAGGGTCGGCGTTGGCTTCTCTTATGCTGACTTTGGCGAGACCGTCGAGACAACGGAGGAAGCGGCCAAGAACGTCCATGCTTTCATCACCATCTTCCTCGAGACTTTCACGCAGCTCGCCGGCCGGCCTCTACACCTCTCAGGCGAGTCGTACGGGGTAGGAACAAGTTTCATTTAATGCGACAACCAAGCTCACCTCTCGCGCAGGGACGCTACCTCCCCGTATTCGCCAGCGAGATCGTCGACCAGAACGCTGTCGCAGTGCGTGAAGGACGGCCTACCATCAACCTGCAAAGCGTGCTCATTGGCAATGGAATCACTGACATCTCAACGTAGGTGGACCCTTCCACCCCAGAGTTTCCTTGTTCACCATACATAGACTGTATGCTGGGCGCTACGAAATTGAGTGTGGCAGGGCCGCATTTGACGTACCCTTCCAGTCCATCTCAGCTTGCGTGCGGATGAAGACAGCTGTGTGTCATTCTTCGTCAGATGTCGACAACTTTTTGACGTACTGGGTTAGCTCCCTCGCTGCGAGAAAGCAATGCAAAAGGCATGTATCGACCAATTTGACGCCATGAACTGCAGAGCCGCTGTAGCGTTCTGCGATTCCGAGCTGTCTACGGGCATGTGGGCTACCGGTCCGTCTTCTCTAATGCTCTTGGTTCCTCACTCTCTCATGTGTTGCCTAGGCAAGAACGTCTATGACATCTCCAAGGTACTTTCCCTTTGCATGCGCCCCCTCTCCCGACATCCTACTAACTTCCCTACCTTCAGCCCTGCATCGGCGAGCTCTGCTACGAAGAGAATGCGGTCATCAGCCGCTACCTCAACCACCCCGATACCCAAGCCCTCCTCGGCGTCGCGCGCAATTTCACCATGTCATCCTCCGTCGTGAGCGCCAGCTTCCTCGCGCACATGGATAAGTGGGCCTCGCCGACGCAGTACTACGTCGCTGGCCTCTTGGAGCGAGGCGTAAGGATGTTGATCTACGCGGGCACGTACGACTGGCAGTGTAATTGGGTGTCAAATCGGTACGTACGAGACAGTTGCTCAGGTCTAGTTCTCACATAAGACTGACTTGCCTGCAGGCTCTGGGTCGAGAAACTGGAATGGAGCGGCGCCGGAGCCTACAGCGCCGCCGCCTGGCGCGATTGGGGTATCACTGACGACTCGAACGCCGCCTTCAGCAAGGCGGGCGAAGTGCGCGAGACGCCGTTGCTTACGTTCGCCACCGTCCGCGGTGCGGGACATATGATGAGTGCATTCGTTTTGATGTCGATGCGAGCGTTGCTGACGGTATTCTCTCTCCGACGTGCTGATGCCTTCCTATGTCTTGGCGGTACCCTGGATGTGCTGATGACATCCTTCGACTTCTTCGTTGCGCCTGTTTCCTCTCATCCGACGCCCACACGTCCCTCATGATAAGCCCGCGGAGTCGCTGGCCATGGTATCGCGCTGGCTCAAGGTAAAGGCGCTATAACTTCACAGCTCTCCCTCAGCATGCTCTGTACTCGGGCTTCGGCTGTGATCCCAACGATCCTCTCAACATCCTCAACAAATCAACTACTTCTACTTAGCAACTTTTCCGCCATCAGTACCCCGCGCGGGCGCATGCTGAATGTAGTCCGGCAGCTTGCTCACTGACGACCGATTGCGATAGATGTGCATGTCAGCGCGCCGCCCTGGTCGCACACGGAAGGCAACGATGTTCAGCTGCCTGCTTCTGATGAGCAGAACATGCATGTCCCGTCAATTCCAGCATCGACTCCGCCATAAACAGTGAACAGTACTGCAGTTGAGAGGTCCCGAAGCTGAACTGGACGTTCGCAAGCGCCTTGTGAGATTTCTGAAGTGCTGGGCGATGATAGGGCGTGCCGTCGATTGAACGTTGCTATGGCGATGGCATCCAATGTCGCCCCTGATGTTGATCGTCCGAGTCAACCGGGCCAATCAGGAAGCGCCGTCCACTCTTCCCTCGAGACCGACACAGCGGGACTCCCTCGCCCGACGAAGTGGACCACGTGGCTTCGCGATGGTTGTCGTACATAAAGAGCCCGGCGTCGAGGACAATCTTCGCTTCTGCCCCCACCGTCCTTCCCTCCTTATCCTGGTACGTGTCCCGCCGCCGTCCCCCACCCGCGCTTGCTAACCGTGCTCTCCTAGCCATTCGTTAGGGCTGCGCCCCCAGTCATACGCCCGGCGCCACTGTGACTTCGTTCGATCTTCGACCTTCCCTTCGTTTTTAGCAGGCTACCTTTCCCTACTCAGCAAGCATATCTTCACGTACGGACGATCTCTGTCATAATGTACTCCACTTCCTTCCTGTATGCCCTCGCGTCGTCGGCGATGCTTGCATCTGCCCTTCCGACGCGCATGATCAAGCGGTCCGATGGTGATATCCAGGTTCTTCGTACGTCTTCCCCTTTGCCTTGCACCTCCTCATCCTTTGCTCACATGCATTTGCAGAGTTCGCGGACGTCCTCGAGCAGCTCGAGAGCCAGTTCTACTCCGCGGGGCTCGCCAAGTTCCAGGACTCCGACTTCACCGCCGCCGGCTTCGCCTCTAGCCAGGCCCCCATCCAGCAGCTCGCGAGCATCCAGTTCGACGAGGCGCAGCACTCCATCACGCTCCAACAAGCACTGAAGGACTCCGGTGCTTCACCCGTCGAAGGGTGTCAGTTCAACTTCGACGCTGCTCTCACGGATGTGGCGACCATGGCTGCAACTGCGCGCACGGTGGAGCTTGTCGGCGTCAGCGCATATCTTGGCGCGGCGACGCTCGTCGAGGACAAGAACATCCTCAACGCAGCGGCTTCTATCTTGACGATCGAGGCGCGTCATCAGACGGTGCTCAACTTGCTCGGTGGTGGCACGACCGTCCCGGCATCCTTCGATGTTGGCCTCACGCCCAGCGAGGTGCTCGCCATCGCTGGCAGCTTCATTTCTGGCTGTGACCTTGGGATTCCGGGTACGTGCTTTAGTGCTCACTATCATGATCATGGCTGACCGATGAGTACAGCCAACGCTGCTCTTACTGTGACGAACACGGACACTGTCATGCCCGGCACGTTGTTGACCTTCCAGTCCGACGCGATCAACGGTAGCACCGATGTAAGCTGCCTCCCTTCGCGTCACCGCACATTCTGACCTTCTTCGCAGGGCATGTTCTGCCAAATGCTCCTTGGCGCTGAGCCTAACTCCATTGCATTGCCCATGGCGGAGTGTGTGGTGCCCGCCGACCTCAACGGCCCTGTCGCCATTTTCATCACCTCGGATGACCAGCCGCTGCTCAACAGCCCTATCAACCGCGCGACAACGCAGCTCGTCGCTGGCCCCACCATGGCCTTCGTCGACAGCAAGCAGGAAGAGCTCTCCCTGCTCGTCAAGACGAACAACGCGGCCTCTGGCAGCTCGAGCGACTCCGTCTCCGTTGAGAGCGTGTCGACGCAGACCGTGTCCCCGGAGGAGGCCTCATCCATCCTCGCCAGCGCGACCGCTGGTGCAGGCGATTCGGCGTCTACTGCGGCTGCCGCCGCGGCTACCGTGACCGCAGGCACTCCCTCGCCGAACGGCGCGTCTCCCGATGGCAAGCTCATTGTCAACGGGCTGTCCACCGTCGCAGACTCGGCCACTGCGACGGCGGCCGCGGCTTCAGCATCGGCGTCAGCATAAGCACATTGCGAAGGGCTTTTCGGGGCGGGCTATGGACTCTGATGATGACCACCTTTTTTGATACCACCGGACTATTCATGTTATGTAGGACATTGCAGGCTTTTGAAGGACAGTACACACTATATTCCCCGTACTGATAGCTTGCTTCTACTCTGTAGGGATTCGTAGTTTCTAGTATATATAAGGAGCGGGCGTGTGGCGTCCTAGCGACGTCCCCGGCGACGTTGCACATCATCTGCTGTGTGACATGTGAAGCTGCGAGATTTTCAGGTCTTACCTTGGGCGGTAAGCCCATGATAATGTCAGCTCGTGCACGCCCAACCCGTATGCGCAGGGCGGGGGATTGTCGATGAGGAGGAGGTGACACCGCTGTCGACACTAGCACACGTCTCGTTGCTGGCAGCGGTGCATGCACACTGAGCGGCGTGAAGGAGATCGATGTTCATGTTCTGGCGACCTACCGCTTGCCTGCCAGTAAGTTACTATCTTATAAGCTCGTGAAGGTGCACTGTGCGATAACCTTTGTGCGGATTCTTTCCTTTTCGACAGATGCTGCCATAATAAGGCAAGTAAGCTTAGCGCCCGCCTATTGTTCTCAAAAAGGAAGGCATTGTGCTGATCCCCGCTCCGAGCCTTCCTGCTCGCCGTTGTCTTGCTTTGAGAGCAAAGCAAAACGTTTGACGAGAGGGGGATTCGAACCCCCGCCTCGAAAGACTAGATCACGTGACTTACACCTGATTCTAGCGCCTTAGACCGCTCGGCCATCTCGCCTTGTAAGCAGCGATGTGGGTTTAATATATGGACCTATCTTTTTTGTACTAATGACAGGGCCCTTGAGCACAGCTGGCTTAGTAGCAAGTTCTGCTCAAGCCTCTTTGTCGACCTCTTTCAGCGCTGAGCAGTTCACGTGTTCTGCGTCCCGAATCATGCGTGAGCCTGTCGCCACGGTTCAACTACTTAGGGGTTGAGTACGACCGTGAGAACAAACAATGTCTCTCGGTGTCTTTGCGGTGCCTTTCCTTCCTCCATCTTCCGTAACTGCTATGCGCAACTCCGTCTCGCGATCGGCGCCTTGACCGAACTCGCAACTTGTGTCGCTGCAACGCGTGCTTCTTCCCATTTTACGATGTCTTGTCCGTCTCCAAGACAGCGAGGCAGTGCTGGAGCTTTGGAAACCTGTCGGCCATTGTTTTGGTTTTGTTGCCAGCGTACACGCCGCGGCACTGGCCTGAGCGCTCTTGTTTAGATGGCCGCGCCTCCGGCCCGCGCCACAAACGCGCTCCATATGCGTCAAAATACGACAGGTTTGCCGCTCGAAGCCTAAGCCGGTTACTCGTCCTCGTGAGCAACAGCTTTCATCAAGACATGATGGGATCGGAGATTTCTCTACATAACAAGGTCGTTTGGTGGCGCCGGCGCGCCATGGGTCCCCTTGCTCCCCCACATTGACCCCACGCTCCTGCTGTCACTGCGAATGCTGCCATGGTCAACTTTGGGCCAGCGTACGAGCCGCTGGTTGTTACTGAGACGGACTTGATTGTGGCCACCCTGGTGCGCAATTCGTCGTCCTGCGCTGAACGTTCTACTTACACCAGCTGTGCAATAGTTCTATGCGTGGACGGTGCGCTTTCCTTTCCATTCCCCCTCCCCTTCACGCCGCTCAAACATTTGCTGTAGCTCGGGTTCGGATATTTCGTCGGCCTCCATTGTGTGCGCGAGTCTCGACGATCGAAGCGATGGGTTTCGACATATCTGGCTCTCATATGGGCGGAATTTTTCGCGTGCGTCGAACCAAGTCCAACCGCCATACGGTGTACCTGACCGGTAGTCTCACAGATGCATCATCTACGGGACGATATGCTGGCTCTACCTCCTCCACATTATACCACCCGGCTTTGGCATTTTCTTTGCAACGACGACGTGCGTCTGTCTCATCTATACACCTTCTGGCGCTGACGAGCGCCGCAAGGCGCCGCAGCATCTGGGCCATACAGATTCAATGTGTCCTGCAGATTATATGCAACCGCGTCGGCGTCCTCCTGCCGGACGATAGATCACGCGCAAGTTCCCTTTCAGCCACCTCTAATGGTGCCGATGTTCATATTCACCCCCGCAGTTGAGGCTCAAACTCTCCGTCTTTGCCTTTGTACTCTTGATAAACATCTCTGGTACGCCCGCACGTTCCCCGCTCCCCGCATCCTTCTGATCAATACCTGCTCCTGGTAGTCTACTGCATATGGGTCCCCTCCAAGATGGGCGTCGACGTGAAGTTCAAGCAGATCAACGTCGTGTGGGATCGCGTCGAGGTCCGTCGATCCGCTTCTTTCATCGAGATCATCTTCTAATCCTCCCATCTATCACAGAAAGTCATTTACCTGATCATCGACATGGCGCTCAATGCGTACTTTATCATATGCGTTAAGCGAAGGCTCGTCGCCTACGGCGTGCGTATGCTTCACCCGTTACATGCCATGACTCTGCTGAACTCGGCACGCAGCTTCGCAAGTACGACGCGCTAGTACGATACAACACCGGCATAGCGGTCGTGTCAGTCTCAATGGATGTTTTTATCATCTGTAAGCCTCGTCCTTCCCGCCTGTAACTCCGGCTTATACTCAGGCAGGCATGATGTCGCTCAAGAACGACTTCGTCTATAATCAAGTTCACCCCGTCGCTTATATGGTCAAGGTACGCTACCAGCTTAGTATACCAGCCGAACCCGCCGATGCTCATATATTGGGTCGCAGCTCAACATCGAGATATCCATGTCCGACCTCATCCGGCGAGTCGCCACGTCCACAGGTAACGAGCGTACGCTAGGCAGGCGCACCTTCGCCGCTCCCACCTGGACTTACGTCTTCCTACAGGGATTCACGTCGACTTCGAAAATGCCAGCAGCAGCGTCACCGGCGCCAGTGGGCAGCGGGGGGCCGTCAACGACCTGCACTTTGCACAAAACCCAGTTGAGGTGCAGATCGATACCGAGGTCGCTACGGACCACATACGGCTCGACAATTTGAAGAAACGAGAATATAGTCCTCGAGGTACGCGAGCCTCAGACTTAGCCGTGCTATCCAGCTAACGAGCTGGCCCATCAGACGCAGACGGCAGCGAAAACGGAGAGGACACCGACAAGCGCGACCCCGACACTGTGAGATAGCATACAGAGCCTGGCCTGGCCACATACCAATGTAGAAGTTGTATACCTGTAATATCGCCGCGAGTAGCATAGCATAACATATATGGTAGCAGTACATAATCCGTGAGCACTGCAATCGTAGACTCACTGTCGTCCGCACCCCAAACGCTCAGTCGTCCTCCTCCTGCCTGTGCTTTTTCTTCTTTTTCTTTGTCTCCGCAGCGTCGGCAGACGGCTCGTCCGTAGCCCTCGTCTTCTTCGTCTTCTTCTCCTGCCCATCCTCGGCGTGCCGCTTCCTTTTCCTCTTCTCCTCCACGGTCGGTGCGGCCTCCTCCACAGGTGCCACGTATGCACCCGCCCGCTCCGCTTGCCGCTGGCTCGCAACCTCCATTTGCTGTCCGCACATCAACACGGCACTTATAGAGATGTCTAACACTCTAGAACGCACCTTCTCCTTCCGCTTCTGCGCCTCCTTCGCCTCTCGCTCGCGCGGCTTGAGGAAGTACTCGCCGGACTCGAGCTGCAAGTCGACCTTGCGAGGCTGCTGTGGTGGCGGGAAAGGTGTATACACCTTCTTCTCCTTCTTCTTCTCCGGCTCGATGCCAGCCGCTGCGCGCGCCTCCGCCTTCGTCGCCTGCCGCTCATTCTTCTTCGCCGTCTTCTCGCTCGTCTTGAGATGGCGCTTGCGGAAAGCCGGCAAGAAGCGGTCCCAGGACTCCGTAGCTAGCTTTGGATCCTTGGCGAGCTCGCGGCGGATCATGAGCTCCTGCAAGAAGGTCAGTTGCGAGTTGACGGGATGCATGTGTGCGCACTTTTATTCGGTAGATAGGATGGATGTTCTTCATACAGTCGAGGACAATTCGCCGAACCTCTTTCAAGGATTTGTACGGCCCCATCACGCTGACAGTGCTACCTTGCACGAGAACATAGCACTGTGTCAGCAATTCGATCGCCTGCAAGAAAGCTTAGCTGCAGTGCGCTTCCTCTATCCACGCATATATGCGCACCTTCAATGTGCTTCCATCGGGTCCAATGATGCGCTGCCTTCGCTTGACAAAGCGCTCCTTATTCCGTACAAGGTTGCCAATTTTTATGATATCGCAGGCCATGTTGTCGTCGAGGATCTTGACTGCTTGCGCAACGGTCACACCACGGGCAAGCAGCTTGACCATATCGCGGGCTTTCAGAATGATGTAGGGATCGTACGTCTTGCGCGTTGTGCGTACAGACATGGAACCGTGGACCAAATCGAGTGTACATGCTACACCCTGACGCATCGTTAGCGTGAAGAAGATAATACAATGAACAGAACACGCACATGATTGTCCAATGCTCTAGTGACCGCGCCCCATACCTCCCGCAAGTACTTTTCTCGGTACTTGGGGAAGAGGGTGGCGAACGAAGACTCCTCGAAGAAGGTGCCGCCCTTGTTGTCGGCGGCGGTGAATGGGTCGATTTTCCACTGAATCGTGCTAAGATTCAACTGCATTATTGATCAAGGATGCTATCCGTATGCTCACACTGGGCCGGCGCGTAAGCGGTCAATCGCAAGGAAAACGTGCGGGCTTGAGCTCACTGGTCGATATCATCAGTATCCCACGCTGGATGGGTACTGTCAGAGACTAGGCTTTATCCAGTATATTAAGCGCATACGTTTATCCTTTCTGTGAGCTTTGTTCTTGTTCACGACGACCTCCTCGTCGGACATGATGGTGCAGAAGGAAAAGTATTGTATCCCCGAATGGGGGACGCTTGGACTTCATGCGATCACCCCTATTCCATTGTTCTTTTGTTGTTCTTTTCGGACTCGGTTCGATTCTTCGTCCTCTCCCAACTTTCAAGGCCTCGTCTGCTTTCAGCTTTCAACTGTCCAAGCAAATGTTATCTGCGCGAGTCAGCGAAACTTGCTGCGCAAGTTGTGGTCATGATAGGCCGGGTTGCAGCGTACCAGATCCATTGACATCTATGTCCGCAGTCTTGAGGCCAACTTCTTCAATTCTAACCTCTGACTCCGACTCTGCATGACTCCTACCGCAGCCCTCTGTACAAGTATTGCAGAATAGTCCTAAGAGTAACGCAGCTTTCCCTTAGCCGTTATCAGCCGGCCGGCTCGATCGCTAACATACCTATCCCTCCTCTCACCTCACCATGGCCAACAGTGATCGCAAGAGCATCGTCGTACTTGGCGCAGGTATGCTCTCTGCTTCTCTATACACAGCTTTCCTGAATCTTATGCTCAGGTGTTGTCGGCCTTACGACTGCCGTCAGCCTTCAAGAGCAGGGCAATTATAATGTGACTGTACTGGCGGACGCGTTCCCCAGTGATCCCAAGTCTGTCAAATACACCAGCCATTGGGCTGTACGTGAACATTTTAGGTCTCTCGTGAAGAGGCTATGCTGACAGACTGATGAGGGCGCGATCCTTCTGAATGGCATGAGCGGGATAGATGGCACGCGCAATCAGCTTATGATAGGTTGAGATGTTGTTTACCCTTCCTCGTCCACGGCTAACATAGCAAGTCAGATGCCGAGAAGGCATCCCTCGAAGTCCACATGAAATTGGCTGCTTCCGAGGGCGAGGCTTCTCGTGCCTACCTTCGCATCCCCGCCATTATGTACCTCGACACTCCGC